TAAACCTCTTCTGCTTTACATTTCTGATACAATACATGACACAGCTCAGCAAAGAGAACACGTGATTATACAAGAATTGTCTTTTAGCTTCTTTGTAACCAATTGTCAAAATGAGGAGTTTGGGCTGTCTCAGCTTGCTGTAAATGCCTCGTGTTTCCTCAGCCTGTTTTTCTGCTGTTGTTCATCTTGCTGTTCCCAGCATTTATTGTCCCACTCTGCTGTCCCTTCTGAGGCTGGAAACTGTTAGAGAAATCCTTGACCCTTATGGCTGTTGCTGTAGTCTCACCGACATCAGCACAGTGTGGGACTACTGTAAAAGCTGATCAGGTCCCAGAACCTGAAAAAGTCCTTATGACATTGTCCATTCTGTGCTAATACAGTGCATGAGTGGTTGGACTTGATGATCTTAGAGGTCTCCTCCAACCTTATTGATTCCCTGAAGGTTTTGTTGTGTTGGTCTCAGTCGGTGCTAGGAATGGAGAAACTTCCTTGAGGTCAGTTTTGATTCTTGCTTTGATAGAGGTGACAAACCTTCTGAACTTCTGCCCTCTTTCATAGCTCATCATAACTTGGTCTTTTAGTCTTCAAAACTCCCTTTTGATTTCTGATCTCTTTTTCCTGTTATGTGTGAAGAAATGTGTTTCCAAATGCTATGACCAATGAAGTTCTGAATCCTTCTGGGTGGCACCCTGTGATTTTAAAAACAAACAAAAAACAGGAGAAAAAGGATGTTTTCTAAGTTTGTACTGTGTGATTATGTTTTTGCAGGTATTTGAGATTCTTTCCAGATGGTCAAGTCATGATGCTAACAACTCCTGAAGATCCTCAGTCTATAGTTCCTCGCTTAAGGACTAAAAACACAAGGTGATTAAAGGAAGTATTTGGCTCCAGAGTTTTCATTTTGCTTTTACCTAGCAATTTCTCTTTCCTTTTGTGTCAGATTTTATATCCTGGCTCAGCAAAACAAGAGTGAAAACACAGTGTCATTTTTATTGTATTAGAGATGTTTATAGCTCTCTTCTAAGCACTACAAAAATGCTGATCTTTATGCAAAAGATACATTTCCTTTTAGGGTTCTCGTGTTGTAGTTAGATTTCCATTGTGGGTTACATGATTTTATTTAAGGGAAGTAGATGGAGGAATACTGGAATGGCATTTACTTGGTGGGTTTAGGATCCTTTTAAAGACACTACTTTTGTTCTTGCCTGCCCTCTCACACTTCCTTACAGCAGTGGCAGGTCAGTGGTTGGACTTGATGACCTTAGAGGTCTCCTCCAACCTCAATGCTTCTGTGATTTTGGTGAGGTGTGACTGAGTTAGTGCTTTTTGATGTTTGCACATAAGAACATAGAAAATTGTTAGCAACTTCAGAACAGTTGGAGCTGTTTGCCAAAAGTCTCAAAATATTTAGCAGTAGGTTAGTGTTGTGGTTTAACCCCAGTGGCCACCAAGCCCCACAGAGCAGGTCGTTCACTCCCTCACCAGTGGGATGGGGGAGAATTGGAAGGGTAAAAGCTAGAAAAACTTTGAGATAAAGACAGTTTCATAGGGAAAGCAAAAGCCACACACACAA